ACCCATTTACAGATGGAGAGGTCGAGGCCCGGAGTGGAGGAGAACACACTGGAGTTATCTGTTGGTCAGCCAGGCTCGGGGCAAAGAACCAGAAAGAGGAGGAACGAGCCAACAGGGAGACCAGAGGCATGGCCGGATCCGCTCGGAGCTCTGAAAGGGCTCGGGCCTGGGGGAGCTGACCTCAGAGAGAGGCAGTGGAAGGGGGTGATGGATGCCTCATCCATCAGAGGCAGGAAGCATGTGTGAGGAGTGAGGAGTCCAGTCCGTCCAGACCATGACGCATTTAGGTCAATGCCCAGCAAGTGACAAGACTGGACACGTTTTTTGTACTTGGGTCCTAGGGAGTCATGGATGGTGTCTGAGCACAGGAGCAGCCACTGAAGGAAAGAAGGGTTGCATCTACGCAGGACATGGGTGGGACAGCCCCAGGAGCTGTGGCCTCCTCCCGCCTCCCGGGGCCAGATTTCCAAGCCCTCGACCCTCACGCACGCTCCTTCACCCGAGCGGACCCGCAGGCGTGCCCAGCCGGACTCACGAACGCACCTGCCCGCTCGTTCGTTGGCTTGCACTCGAGACGCACTTTCCACACTGTGAAATGCACCAGTCAGGCGGGAACAGTTGGGGGGAGGGGGGGCTTCGGGAAGTGACAATCTCGTGTGACCACCACGCAGACCAAGATCAGGCATGTTCCCATCATCCCGGAAGGCTCCTTCCAGCCCCTCCTTCCAGCTCCTTCCAGCCTCCTCCTCCCCGGCAAGGGTAACCACCGATCTGATTTCCACCGCCATAGCTCAGTTTGGCCTGTTCTCGCCCTGCCTGTTGTTGAAGCCGTGAAATAGACAAACAGCCCTTTGTGTCTGGCCCCTTTAGCCCCGCAGGTGTTTGAGATTCATCCACGTTGTGCATCGATCAACCGTCTGCGCCCTTTTAGTCTGAGTGGTGTCCTATCATCCACGTAACCATTCACCAGAAGGTGGATCTTTGGATTGTTTCCAGCCTTGGGGCTATTAATAATAAAGCTGCGAATAGTGTTATCTACAGGTCTTTGTAGGCACAGATGGCTTCATTCTCTTGCAGAAATACCTAGGAAAGGGATTGCAAAGTTGCCTGGATGCACCACCTGGTGCAAATATGCCAAATGGTGAATATGTGTCCAACGTTGTGAGAAACCGCCACACTGCTGTGCAAAGCGGCTGTGCCCTGGTGCATCTGCGGGAGCAGCGCGTGAGCGTTCTGGCTTCTCTGCGTCCTCGTCAGCACTTGGTATTGTCGGTCTTCAGTTTCAGTCCTTCCGGTGGCACAAAGTGACATCTCGGGCGGCTTTCATTTGCATTTCCCTGATGGTCAGTGACGTTGAGCCTGTTTTCCAGGAGCCTTCTGGACACCTCCGCCTGGAGGTTGACCAGACCCTGCAGACGCCATGTGGCGGAAGCCCAACCCACCGCCCGACCTGCTTCTTCCATGGATGATACCCAAGTCGCAAACAAGATTTCACTTCCTTCCCTCTCCTCCTCCTCCTGCCAATCCATCACCGACTCCTCCCCTTCCTCCTTCCCAGTTATCCCTCGATTCCTCACCTTCTCGCACCCCTTCTCCGGCCCAGGCCCCGCCCCCCCATCCTCGCACAGCCTCGCCCTCCTCCCTGAAGCCATTCTGCCTCCTTCCCACCACCCCGGCCTCGTCCATTCTCCCAATGTCCCCACCCTGTTCTCTACGCTGTCCTCAGTGGCTGGACACATTCT